TTGCTTTAGAAGCATACTCACCCTCTTTATAGGCTAATCAGAAAGTGCTGCCTTTTTCAGATGTATATTTTTCGTGAAATTTCCAGATTCATTTTTACACGTTTGCGTATCAAAATTTCAACATGAAATTTCACAAAAATTAGACATCTGAAAAAGGCAGCACTCTCTGACTGGTATCAGGTCAACTCGGACCCAAACCAAGTCGGACCCATGCCAAGTCGGAACCATGCCAACTCGGACCCACGCCAACTCGGACCCACTACCAACTCGGACCCACTACCAACTCGGACCCACGACCAACTCGGACCCACTACCAACTCGGACCCAAGCACGACCAACTCGGACCCAACAGTTTTAGTTTCAGAGATTATAGTTATAGGTGATCTTAATGTTAGTGCTTATAAAGTGAAGATATTCTGTAATTACATTGGGCAGAATGGGGTTTTTAGTTTTGTTGTTTTCTTGTATTGCCGCTGTGTGGAGTTTTTCTTGCAGTGTATGCAATGGTGTTTATGTGGGGTTTTTTTAAATAGAGATTAGAATAGACTTCGTTTTTATATCTTATTTATTTTATTTAGTGACTTATGTTTACTTATATTTATTGAGTTAATAATGTTATGTTTGAAAGTGTTTATGTTTTAATGCCATACTTTCCAATTTTATTTTTCTATGAAGATCTGTTCTTAATTTGTATACTTGTTACGTTGAAGTTTGGATTAAAAATGAAATAAATTGCTGTTAAATTTAGCAAGATGGTGTGAACGATGTCAATTAATATGTTTTAATGAAAATAAACAATTGGTTAAACTTTTAAAGCGCAATATGTTTTAATGGAAAACAAATGAAAATAATAAATAAATAATTACACTTCAAGTTAAAGTGCATTTCAAAATAGCATTTTAATGCGCTTAAAAATGTTATACTGCTGCAATACAGATATGAGATAATTTACCTTACAATTACAATGAAAATTTATTCTAAACAGCATCACTGTAAATAATAACAGATGAGAAGTGGACAAACTTTTTGAAATGAATGATTGAAAACGATTTCGAATGATTGAAAACGATGGGTCCGAGTTGGTCATGCATGGGTCCGAGTTGGTAGTGGGTCCGAGTTGGTCGTGGGTCCGAGTTGGTAGTGGGTCCGAGTTGGCATGGGTCCGAGTTGGTAGTGGGTCCGAGTTGGCATGGGTCCGAGTTGGATTGGGTCCGAGTTGGTTTGGGTCCGAGATGGATCGAAACCCTCTGACTAGCCTATAAAGAGGGTGAGTATGCTTCTAAAGCAAAAAAATCCTACAAACTAAGCCTAAATGTAGCTATCGCAGCGGGTTCGCGATATTGACCTTTTGTATTCGCGGCGCACGTAAAATTACCGAATTTTAAATCGCTACAGAACACTCACCTTTCAGTTTTTCACCCCCAAACTTCCCAAACTTGCGTGAAATGTTATCAAAATTATGTCACTGAAAGATTTCTTACATTTTGGACGTAAAAAAAGTGACTTTTGATGAGTTTTTCATAGCACTGATTTTTCGTGGCCGAATTCACGATCGCCATTTTTGTTTGAATGACCCGGAAGTTGGGGGTTGAAGGCGGTCACAAAAATGACGTGTTTTCCGCTTTAAATGACCTTTATACTCGTTTTAAAAGGTCAGGAAGTAACCTGAGAAGTTTTTCTTGTTATGAAAGCTACTTTCACGATCAAAATCGATGGATTAGTTCCCCAAAAAGAGTTTTTTGTATCACTGGTACAGAAAATCATCATTTTGCTCGAGTTTGAATCAGTTTTTAGAAGGTAAGACTTTAGGGGACGTTTTTTAAACACCCATAAATGGATTTAGTGGCTTATTTTCTGCCTAGAAAGTCCAGATTTCAAGCTGAAATCTGTTTCGCTCAGTGCGAAATTGACAAAAACAAAACTTGGGTGCCTTCTTGATTTCGCCAGATTTTGCGTCCATCACGTTTAATAACTAGTAGCGTGTGACTTTATGATTAATGGTCATGGGCGCGTCGCCAGGATTTTTTCCAGGGGGGGGGGGGGGGGCAAAGCAAATTTTCCCCAAAAATTCATTAACTTGTTAATATTTATATTCTCAATTTATCATTTTTCCGGCGTGAGCAGGGGAGCATTTGCCCTACCCCCCCCCCCCAATCAAATTACAGCAATATGGCTTCGCAACTCTTTTTCCTTTTTTCCTTTTTCTTTTTTTTTTTCTGGGGGGGGGGGGGGGGTTGCCCCTCCTCACGACGCCCATGTTAATGACAACAAAAAGGATAAAAAAAATGATGGCTTTGATGAAAAGAATTATGGATGATGGTGATGAAAGTTCCCACATAAATGGGATATGGCCAATGATGATGGTGCTATGATGGTCATCAATGAAGGTACCATAATTAAATAATGGTGATAATGCATGGTGGCTTTGGACCTTGGTGATGGTGGTGTGGCAGGGGCAGATTCAGTGATTTTGCGGGGAGGGGGGGGGGGGTCCGTCATATTTTTAAAAAAAGTCGGATTGATGCAGGCAGGCGGACATAATAGGTAACAATAATTTTATTATTAAAATAAACATTACATTATCTTTTACATTAAATTTAAAAGCACATTGTTCAAGATCGACCTCAAGACTGTCGTGAATATCCTTGGAACTTGAACTAAAGAGATCGTATATGATATGGTAAGATGATTAACTACTTCACTTTTTCTCTTCTTTCTGTGTGTCTTTCTCTTGTCTTCATTTATTTCATTAAGGCCGCTGGCTACCGAAGTCTTCCTCTCACACCATATCGTGGTAACAGATTTAACATCTTGTTTCACAATGCCTGCTGCATATACTGGCTGCACCAAGAAATGGTGGACTTCTTAGAGAAAGAGGGCAGTGCAACCTGGGTACTACATGACCTAAAGGTCCCATTCTTTCTGGCTGAGTGCAAGGCGTTGGGTCTTATCTGCAAACTCGTCACGACTCCACTCTGGAAATTGATAGAAGATCCAAACATCAATATAATAGACATGAATGAACGATACCTTCAGTTGGTTACATTCCTCAAAGATGTGTCTAACAACAACTTGGAGGATTTCATGACAGGAAAAAACGTCCCTTTCCAGATGTTAACATAAAAGATGATGTCTTGTACAAAGCTGTCATAGCTGATTCAGAAGTTGACGCTGATTGCCTAGTAGTTCTGGGTTCTGTTCTCCCCGTCTTGGCCAAGTTAACACAGAGACTGTACCATGATCATCTACCAGAAGGAAAATATGCAGCTGCTACTGAAGAAATGAGAGCAGCAAAAGGCACAGCAAAGCACAATAAGTATTGTGAAACAATCTTTGCATTCTATGATCAAATGCTGCGAACGAGGCCACATATATCAACAATAACTGCAGAAGCAAGCCTGATGTTTACATTTAACAAGACTGGAGAGTGGCTTGACGCAAAAAATGAAGAAGAGGAGAAAAAAATCCTGCAAGAATCAAGAAAGCAAGTGAAAAGACTCCAAAAAGAGTTCAAAGACAGACAGAATAAAATAAAGGAACAAAAAGCAGAGCTCCAAAGAGAAAAATTTCGGAAGGGAGAAGCAGCAAAAAAGAAGGAACTTAATGCCAAAATCCAACAAGCCAATGATATATTGTACTGGGGACTTCTTCAAAGTGAAGAACAGGTGGATCAAGCAATGATAGGCTTGTCTAATTCTGAAAGGTTACATCTCCTCAAGGCACAGCTGAAGTTCAGAAAGAACCTACTGGAACAAATAGCAAGTGATGTCAAACTATATAATTTCTCAGTACAAGTCGAGGATGATGAGGGTAATAAGAAGAGGAGGCAGTTACTACCAGATGAGCTAGCACAAAATGTGAAGCAACTGATCAGAGATGGCCAACTCATGGAGCGTCTAGAGGAAGAACCCAGTGGTACTACTAGACTTGTCAACAAGAGAGTCCACCACAGATTTGAAACGGATGGTTCAATATTGCTTACGAAGAATCACCGGACACTGTTTACACTTATAAACTCCTTGAAGATCTTGAGGCTGGAGACCTGGTGATCGAAGAAGAACATTAGAACAGTGAAACAAAGGTTACATTGTAAATATCTTACATGCACTGTTAGATTTTATAATGTATGGGCAATTATCTTCTTTCCTCACAAAAAAATACTAATAAACGATTTTGTGTAACAGACAGTAAAGATGATGAAGAGGTATGTTTTCAGGTCACTAAGAGGTGACTTTCAGAAGGTGTTTCCTTTTAATGGCAGATGATAATTACAATTTCATTTAAAAGGTTACATTTTGCTCACTAAGAGCTTTCATTTGATATATAATTTGTCTATGTTTAAGAGAATATGAAACTATAGCGAAAGTAGAATTATTCCAAGAAAGTGTACTTAAATCACCTACTAAAGTTCCATGATTCGGACATTTAAGAAACTGTAAGTTTCGACTGGAGGCATCTATTTCAATTTTCTTTACACCATTGCATTGCTCACATCAAGGGCTTCAATTTGATATATAACTTGACAAAATCTGACAAAAAATGAAAACCAAATGAATGTAAAATTAAAATTCCAAGAATTCCACCTGCATGACCGGAGAAAGGTTTCATGGATTTGCATCTTTAAGGAGCCATAACTTTCGAACGGAAGCACTGTTTCCAATTATTTTTGTACCATCACATTTCTCTTATTAAGAGCTTTAATTTCATGTATAATTTTACCATTTTTGAAAAAAAATTAAATTTCGACTAATATAGCTACTAAATGTGAAAATCAAAATTTGGCAAAGTCGACACGATTTTTGTACATGTGGATGTGTGGCCTATGTTTACGGAGGCAGTCCAGTAAATAGGCCACATTTATGGGGCTAGTCCTGGGCATGCTGGGGGTCTGGCACTGCGAAATAAACCACATCATGACATCAGCTTGTTACTGACTGTGTCAGTCATCACTAGCTGACTAGTCATGACTCTACTTTTACGAATAGAGAATTGTACCTTACCTTGCAAGTCACTGAAAACAAGTTTTTGCAATGTTACAGTTCCAATCATGTGACAGCTCGCGAAGCGATTCACCTGACGACCCTCGGCCTCGATCAAAAAGCAGATTGACACAGTAATCTTTGTGGAAAAAATACAGTTCGAAACCCAGACTGATATAATAACCAAGAAGGTACTTTGCTAAGACTTAATAGGGAACCTGACTAGATAATTGAGGTTTGGCCAATGGAGGGCGCTATTAATTATTTGCGGTCTGCTCACTTTTGTTGAATTGGCGACCGCTTTGACTTTGGCCTGAAAGTATTCTTGCTAATTTAGTTGGCGAATCGCCCCTTTTTATCGTCATTATTGCTGCTAAGGATATGTAACATTCTGAGGGTAAGGCAAAAAATCAATCTAGTCATTTTGCATGAGTGTGTGTATTTTTAAAGTGCAACTGCAAGGTCAATGATTTCATTTATCATTTCAAAGTGATGCCCAATTTTCGGACACCAAAATTGAATTAACGTAGCCGATTTCCTATCCCTGCAATGGATGTTAGCAGGTGTGGACGGTAATTCTGTCCCCGGTAAAACTGTCCGGGGGGACAGAATTACCTAGGTAAAAGTGTCCTCCCCAGCTAGTTAATTCTGTCCCCCTCCAGGTATAGGCCTAGCCTATTTCTGTCCCCTCACTAGTCCAGGTTTTTTTGTCCCAGTTTTGCAACGCAGAAGGCCAGTTCTCTATATTGTTTTTATACTCTACAAAAGTACAAGGTATGCCCTCCATGAAGATGAAAAAATTTAATTTGGTATCTTTCTTAGATGTGAACACAATGTTTTGATTCGAAGTACGGTGAAAATGCAGCAAGGTCACCGTCATGCACTACGACGTGCAGTAGTCATGGTAGTTCTATGGCCACGCACTGGATGAGCTACTCACTTTGCGTGGCCAAAGAATAGCGGCGATGCATCGCGATGGCCCTCGTCTCATTGATGTAATGCCTACATGGATTAGTCTGCGTTCCCATCATAGCGCGCGCGTAAAGAAATTTCCTATTGGATGAATTTCCATTGTGGAGGGAATGGGATAGGCCTACACATTCATTTTGTACATACATGTAGGCCTATGTGATAATCACTGCCACAAATTTTGCAGCATGTACTGGCACGGCGCAACGCGCAGTTGCTGACAATTCGCAGTATGGGTGCTAGTCGCATGGGGACACATTTAAGTTGGGCAGGTGAACATATTTACCTGGAGGGGGACAGATCTACCTATGTAAATGTGTCCCCCCGGACAGATTTACTGGGTCACGAGCCGGTCAATTTGTCCGGGGGGGGGGGGGGGGGGGGGGGGGGGGACAGAATTACCTGTCACACCGGCGCCGGTGTCCTTTCAGTGAACTTTTTTTCACAGAAATTATTTAGATTGGCTAATCAATTATATTGGCTGTGACAACTTTCTAACATGTCTAAAGTTTATTGTAGTAAACACTAGGTTGCCGGATAAATCAGTGACAACCTCCGATCCGGCAAACTATTCATAATAGGCCTAGGCCTAAACTAGTGTTAATCGGCACCGGCCAAATAACCACTACCTTCATTTACCCTTGAAATCGGAAAAATGTGTACAGTCCAGGTAGTACCCGTTCCTGACATCATGTTACTAATGTTTAAAACATTGTTTCTAAATAAAAAATAGCCGTTCAGTTTCTTATGAGCACTGAAAGAAATGTCTTGATATATACATGTACAATGTACATGTATCATCACTTGTAAGGTCATCAGAATGAAAGTTTTAGATTTGCGTTCGCCACTCGCTCCCTTGGTCTTGAAACTACAATGACTACCGCCTACAAATTTCATTGTTTCACCAAAACAAATATGTGTGTACCTTGTCACATCAAAGCAATTTCGAAAATGGTTAACAGTTGTAAATATGTTACAATTAAAGTATGAATGCCGTGGGTATGACACAATGAAAAAACTGAGATTCGTTTGATCTAAACTTGAAAGTAAGACGAGTCATCTGACTGCAAATTGGTGCAATATCACAGCAATCTTTTCCCAAACAATCTCTCACACAAATGCATAAATTTCTTTGAAAAAGTGGTCAACTGAATCTATTTTGTTGACAGATGTTTCTGCTACAGCACTTCAACCGACTTGTCTCACGGCAGGCCCTGGGGACCACCAGTTCAAGCATTCACAACATATGTGCTGCTAACTTTAGGTATGTGGGATAGAAATGCATAGACTCTGCTCTGTTGCCTCATGGCCTCATCATAGAGTATTTTTTATTGAGAGCCAAAAAAAAAGAAAAATAAGCGAACAAAGATAAATTATGGTTAAAGGGAATGTACAACATTTGCTTTTGCTGCAGTTTTCAGAAATAAATGGATTTGGAGGATTAGTATGTTATAGCAAATATTGTGAAACTGACTTGCTTCACGTTTTGGGTTCAGAGATGCTGGGAAATCCAAGAAAACCAACCATGTTCTTGTAGTCTGGTTCCCTGACCCCACTCAAGATGAAACAGAGCAATTTATAGACTTTTGGGAATTGTTAGGTCAGAGAATCAGTCTAGCAGGCTTGTACCCCTTCACGGGTGTGTAATCAATTGCAAAGAAAATGCAGAATAACTAAATGTGAATAAATACGAGCAGTTTTTAGAAAAAAGCCACACCAGGAGCCACGATTTTGCAGGATACTTTTAGACTGTCATTCCCTAACAATCCAGTAAGATATTTCGTGATGATTTGATCATTTTGTTTTTTGATGTTTGCAAATGTTGTATCTTCCCTTTAATGTACATGTATGTAACTGTGTATCCAATGTATTGACCAATGGAATCGCATCATTGAGTTTTTATCCACCATTTGATTTAATTGTTAAACGTAACCTTAGAGTCCAAGCCTTAATTTATTGTCCCACACTGTACTTCTCAACTCTTCTTGGCAGCACAAGCAACCCTGCAATGGGCATCATCCTCCTGTCCAGGCTTCGTGTCGTAGACAACTCGACCCTCGGGGCGGCCGCGGCACACAAGCCGCCCCGCTGCATCATGGTCTACAACAAGCAGCGCATCGGCAAAGTCGGAGACAAGATTCTAGTTGCCATTCGGGGCCAGAAAAAGAAGGCCCTGATCGTGGGCATCAAGCAGGTCGGTGCCCGCATGACGCCGCGCTTTGACACCAACAACATTGTTCTGTTGGAGGACAGTGGGAACCCAACGGGTACCAGGATCAAAGTGCCCATCCCTTCCCACCTCAGGAGTCGCAAGGACCTATCCAAAGTGTTTGCAATCGCCACCACATTTGTATGACGTCAGCCTCGTCTCTTTCTGACTGTTGATTAACCGTACAGGAACTAACCAAAGGGTTGTGTGAAGACTATTGTACATGTATGTACATGGCTGTCTAGTGACTGAATTACTTGTACACTCACAGAGGCCCCTAATAATGGTGAAAGCATCATAAAATAAATAAAATAGATTGTAATGCTTATATAGCGATCAACAATCTCACAGAGCTTTACAATTATTCCAAGTTCATCAGGCCACCAGACCACGCGGCAGCTGATATGTTCGGCCCGCTACCCATTAGAGTCAATTGTAATTAAGTGTTTTGTCCAAGGGCACACACACCATGTTCCTGGCAGGGTTCAAACCCACGTACCATCGTACATGAGTCTAAACACCATAACCACCATGACCACTGGACCATGGCATTCTACGTTATGCCAGCTTTTGATCAGATTAAACGCCACAGAGCTGTTCAGTGCTTTGTATAATAGCTACAATCCCGGCCAAAATGGTTGGGACACTTCCTGAGCCTGCCACGGTCACCCGCTCCTCCGATCAATGTTGTTCTCTCCAGCTGATGGAGCACACACTGCGCAATGAGAGACAACATTGAACGGGGGCCAGGGGGTTGGGGGCCCAGCGAGATTTGGCCAGGATTGTAGCATGAAATAAACGCCATTGTCGGGGCTCCATGAGTGTACAGTGACGCTGTGCCAGAAGTGGCCCATACTTTGAGCGTGATCTTGATTCCTGTTGGACATAAGATTCAATTTGACATTTGTTCCGGAAGAGGCCTTCATCCAGAAGGCGGTAATTTGGTTGAAGAGGTGTCTCATATCTCAAGTTAAAAAGTGTACACTTATATTGTACCTGCCACAAAAATATTCTGAAACGTAAAATCTCTCTGTTCCTTTCACCGGTGCTTTCAAAGATAGTGACAAGTGAGTACCTTCCCATTAGGAACATACGTTGCCACTGTTAGACCTCATATATTCTGGAACTTTTCTGGGAAGATGAATCTCAAGTAAATTAAATGCCAATCGGTGTAAAACAAAGTTACCTGTCATTAGTGTTTTTTGTAAACATCATGAGCATGATCAGTAGAGTAAAAGAGAAAAATAAACACTAAAAAAATGAAATTGCACAGCTAGTCCTGTACGGGGACTTCTCTATAGTCCGAAGTCCCGTTGGTCCGAAGTCCCATTGGTCCAAAGTCCCATTGGTCCGAAGTCCCATTGGTGGAAGTCCCATTGGTCCAAAGTCCCATTGGTCCGAAGTCCCATTAGTCCGACGTCCCATTGGTTCGAAGTCCCATTCTTAGAAGTCCCATTGGTCCAAAGTCCCATTGGTCCGAAGTCCCATTGGTCCGACGTCCCATTGGTCCGACGCCCCATAGGATTAGAGTTAGGGTTATGGTTAGGGTCAGTCAACCTGAACAAGTGGAACTACACAGTATTATGTTTCGTCAGACCAATGGGACTTCACGTTGGACCAATGGGACTTTGGACTTTCAAGACGTAACCGTACTGTACGAGGGTCGGTTGAATTTTTTTTAGCCTAGCTAGGAAAAAGTATACACCACCATTGGTGCGTTTATTTGCAAGGTCAGCAAAGCGAGTAGATACGCAGTGTTTGCCATGCTTTTGCTGGCTGCCATGCTGTCATCAAGCACCTGCAGTAGATAGGGCTAACTCCAACGGTCATCCATGAGGACATGGTGTCAACCCTAGGGGATGGTGCGTCTTCCTTTGCAACTGTTAAGAGGTGAACAGCTAAATTTAACCGAGGAAGAGAGAGCCTCAAAGATGACCCACAGTCGGGGGGACCGCCAACTGCCACCACTGAGGGAAATGTTGATCGTGTGCATGATCAACAGCTGACCATTCGCCACATAGCCAGTGTTATAGGCATCTCTCATGAAAGAGTACAGAACATTCTGACGAAGGAACTAGGCACGAAAAAGGTTTCAGGATGCTGGGTGGCTGGGTGCGGTAGCTTCTGATCAGATCAGAAACACACCAGACTCATCATGTACCGTGACAACTTGCTGCATTTTGAAGCGGATCCGTCCGATTTCATCGACCGATTTGTGACTATGGACAAGTCTTGGGTATTTCACTTTCAGCCAGAGACCAGAAAACAGTCAAAGTAGTGAAAACATCCACAGTCTCGCCCTCCGAATTGCAGAAGGCCAAGGCTTTTCACTCAGCTGGCAAGCTGATGGCTTCGGGGTTTTTTTTTGGGGGGGGGGGAGGGGATTCAAAAGGAATCTAATGGTCGACTGCCGGCAATAAACCTAAAGCAGCTGCGTGAGAAAGTTACTGTAAAAAAAAAAAAAAAAGTTAAGGCTAAATGACGTGGAAAAGTCATTAGAGGCGCGTTGTTCCATCAGGACAGTGCACCGGCTCGGTCGTCATGGCTGCACTGCAGGACTGTGGCTTTGAACTCATTGCTCATCCACCTTATTCCCCAGATCTGGCACCATCTGGCTCCCAAATCTGGCTCCCAAAATATTAAATTATAAAAATGCACAAACACTATAGCGAACGACCAGTACATGTACATGAACATTCTTTTATGGACCTCATTATGTTTGTTATAGTGGCGTTCCACTGTATTATACAGGTAATTTGAAGGGAAAAGGTTATCACCCATCCTCGCATAGAGACCAATCCGGGCAAGGTACCACTGTATATTAGCCCTCTCCCCCCCCCCCCCCCCCTTCAATGAAAGCACATAAACTGGAATTTGTATCCTTGTGGAGTCATTTCTTTGTTCTCTTGTACTAAAAAACTTGAGATTGAAAAGTTTCAAAATGCTCATATTTTGACCAGAATTAATGTCCTGGGCTGAAATTCGGACATAATATCCCTTACATAAAATACTTCAATTTGCGACTGATCAAAACACCTTGGAAATTCCTAGTTTTTGAGTAAAACCCGTATATGTAGTTCGTGATAACCTTGTGGAGACGTATTCACCTATAGAAATTGCCCTGTGGAGACGTATTTATTCTTTTGTTCCCTATTATACCTTTGTCTCCACAGGGTACAGTGGACTAGATCAGTATTGTGCTAGCTCTGGCGTGCATTCTTGACATTATTTTAATCCAAAATAGATATCACTATTAAAAATAGAGATATCTCTATTAGCAATAGAGATATCTCTATTAATAATAGAGATATCTCTATTACAGGGATTAAATGTAAATGTTGTATTCCTGATAGAATCTCTATTGTTGGATTAATTGTCAAGAATGCACGCCATAGCTAGATACTGAACAAACCAACAGCCTCATGATGGATTATATCGTATATCGTTATAGTGTCTGCGACGGATAAAGTGATGATGATGATGATGATGAAAACGTTCAACATTACCATCAATCCTCGGTAGTATAGTGGTTAGTGTCTCTGACTGTCACTCAGGAGACCGGGGTTCGATTCCCCGCCGGGGAGGCAACGGATTAATTTTTTTTGTCTGCTCGAATCATTAAAAAAAATGCCGTCACCTAAAAAAGCTGATGAAAAGATGAAGCATTGCGACTTAATCCTCGGTAGTATAGTGGTTAGTATCTCTGACTGTCACTCAGGAGACCGGGGTTCGATTCCCCGCCGGGGAGGCAACGGATTAATTTTTTTTGTCTGCTCGAATCATTAAAAAAAAAATGCCGTCACCTAAAAAAGCTGATGAAAAGATGAATCATTGCGACTTAATCCTCGGTAGTATAGTGGTTAGTATCTCTGACTGTCACTTAGGAGACCGGGGTTCGATTCCCCGCCGGGAGGCATGGGTTCATTTGTTTTGGTAGTACAATCCGCTACGACAAAATACCCGGCAGTGTTCAATTCTTTTCCGGACAAAGCACATTCATTAACAATTTTATTGAAAATTTGCCTCATTGACGGACAAACAGAGAAGTAACATTTCTTATCTATGGCACTTCTAAAAAAAAAACATTCGTTAACAAACGGTGAATTTAGTTTTTCATTGAATACTGGAAAACATTTGGAATAATAACGATGTTTTTGTAAAAACTCCAATTCTTTTGTTTTCAATATTAACAGCTTTACTTATCCTTTTTACTGGGATTTTGAAACTTGTTTCTTTCTAGTTAAAACCGGCAAATGATCGTTAACATCATCAGCCACTTCCAAACATTAACAGATTTTCTATATTTGCTTTATACTAGTGTGGATTGGTTCTCCTCTGCTTTTAAACCCTCTGTATTTGAAAACAAAACTCTGCCTTTCAAAAGGCCACTAGATAAGTAGTTTTACAAACGCTGCTCTGGATTTCCTGATGAGAAAGAACCGACAAAGGTATAACACGGCATACAAGCAACTGTATTACAGTTACATGTAAATAAGATCAGTTCTGGTGGTATGTAATCCTGCTATTCTCTTCCCATCAAAAGGTTTGACATAACGGACAGGATTAAGCATGGGGGTATAATCTACCCGGCTAAACGCAAGTACACACCTATGACACCTTGGGAGATACAGCAACAGTATGTGCTCGGATGTAGAACTTTATCACAATGACGAAATTGCAAAGGAATTGTTACAGTTAAAACCTTTGGAGGACAGTTGATGCTAATTCTTATGGCGGCAAACTCCTTATCTTCGGACACACGGAGTGCCGGTTATACAAAATATTGGTCTCTCCAAAATATCTGGAGTACCTGAAGCTGTTACACTAAGAGCCGCAGCCACCGACTAATACCGAGAACAGCCACTTGAAAGGAACACATCTAAAACACTTGACGGTATAACCCAAGCTGGCTGATCCCTCTTGAAAAGAACAAGCTTAGCAAGATGAAGCTTGCACTTTCATTCATCAATCGCGGTAAAAATAGAATCTTGGTGTCCCACAAGGCCGGGACGGTGTACTACAGTATCGGTCCGTCTTTTGCGGGATTAACTGTATCAAAAATATAGAACTACCAAAACGTTTTTCTTTGTATCTTTCGACCTTCATTTTTCTTCCAGCAAGCGAGCAACATTTGCACATTTTCTTTTAAATCAGTGATGACGCGTTCATTGAAATCAGTTAAATAAATTTTGGAGAATGTCATAACACCCCCGCCTTCCCACCCGCTCCAACTTATGATGCATACCCATCGTCGTTGGCGTATAAGCGAGGAATTAAGTGTTTGTTATTTACACGACAAAGCAATACAACACCAATTTCAAAACAACTAGCAATGGGGGGAAGGGTGTTGCAGCATGGACATCGTGTTATACCGTTGAATTGTAGGTAAAGAAAAGCGCTTACATCATTGCCCACTACACCAGTTCAGTATGTCTTACGCACGTAGCGAGGCTATTGAAATAATCAATTTCATATTCGGTCTTGTTGACACAAGACAAGGAACAATGTAACCTGCCATTAAAAAAAAAAGCGAAACGACTTCGCGAATAATTGGCCTCCCATTATGACAAAATGTGGGTAAACATTGCCTCGGGATTACATTACACGAATCGTAATTAACTCTCAGCTGGCAATGTAAACATCTAATTCAAGTAACGGTAACTAATGATGACAGGGTTGCCATGCCCTAGTGTTTGTCAACAAAACAAGAAGGGCAAGTAGCCCTAGAAAAAATAACAAGCTAGCTGCCTCTTAATGCCCGCACGAATAATGGTATGCATGTTTAGAGAAGTTACTTGCACGTGATGGGTCAAAAGAGAAGATTCTTTTCTAGGGCTTCTCACCGAGCTTTGCCAGCATGCATGTGCAATCCCTTATTTTCGGATCTCCGAAGTCTTACTTCTTAATTAATACGTGCAGACCAGGACAAATGCTACCTTCGCTCCAATTCTGTGCCCTGTATGGATAAAACTATAACAGTTTGGTGATGACAAAGGCACTTTATATCGGGTTCCATCTTTTATTTCATTTCTGACGAATCATCTCCTTTGATTCCACATGCTATTTAGTATGGCTTCGCGTGTTATCTCAAGCTGTCCAACGAAAAATAGAAGGAAGTTTTTCAAGGACGGTTGAAATCCCACTCCTATATCCTCCTCATCTCCTCCTCATCTGCTATTCA